TGGATTTTGAATGGAGCCACATCTGACATTATACAAGGTCTCTGTTTTTACCAGCCCATCTGGAGATTTACCTCTTTATTTTCTAAGAGGATTTGAAAACAATGTCTAACTCAACCAGCAATCAAGATCTGTGGGCTGCTGGAACCACCACCTCACTACTTCTTGACACTCAAGAGGAAGCTGAGCTGCTGGCAAGGCTGCGGATTGAAGATAAACCAGTGGTCCAACCCAAATAGTCTCTTGGGAGTCGGAGGAGATCCCATCCGGGATGCTGGCATGGAGAAGCTGTGTGGTAGGAGGAAGGCCAAGAAGATCTCCTGCTGACCCAAGCTTTGCATCTCTTGAATGAAGCCCTGGAGGGATGGAGGACTAGAGAAAGATATGCATTGCCAGCATGCGAAGACCCTGGGGAATAGAAGGGGGGCAAAAGCCTTTGAAGCTCTGTCAGCAATTCCCATAGCTCAGCCAGGGCCAGCTCAAGTGGCTGCAGTAGCCTAAGCCCCACCTCCCCAGGAAGGTAGCACCACAGAGGCACTGAATTCCGAAAGTTCATCCACTGGAAGTAAAATACAGAGGGGATCCCAAGGAGTAGGGATTCTTCCTAGCCCAAGTCCACAATCATATGAAAGAATATGGGATGATTTCACCTTAGAGTCAGCCAAAGTGAAATGTGTCTCCAAAGCCCTAGAAGTGACTGCAGCCCAATGGATGGTCACTCTTCACAATTATGATGCCCCTCAATTAAGGAACTATGACCTGTTCATGGCAGCCTTGCACACAAATTTGAAGATCCCCTTGCTGAACACAAGGCTAGGATTAGGATGAAAACCATAAATCAGGAACGAAGGCTCATTGTGAATATACTCAGGAATTTAGAGAGAGTGGTCCCAAGAGGCCCTTGATGGAAGCTTTCAAAGATGGGCTGAATGAGGATGTTTATCAAAGCTGTATCTCCAAAAAAGATGTTAGAGACCTACAGCTCTGGTATGTGTTGTCTGCTGATGTGGAAATTGATCTGACCAGAAACAGATGCAGGGGTGGCCCCAGCTGGAGAAAGCCCTCTCCTTACCAACCCCTGTGAGGCACCCAAAGTTCAAAAGGGTGGATTGGCTGTGAAACCCAAAACCACAGCATGCTTCCAATGTGGGAAGGAAGGTCACTGGGCTGCAGATTGCCACACTAAACTGGATACAAAAGGACACCGGCAGGAGGGAAGAAAGTTGGAAAAAAACTCAGCCAAGCTGTGTGAAACAGCCATGCAGGTTGCGGAAGTTGTTGAGTTCGCACCTCCAGGAAGAGAGAGTTGGGAACTCCTACCCCTTCTGGCAAGAGTGACAAGATCCTCTGGTAAGTCCATAAAGGGCTCCATGACCATCCCAATGGAATTAAGGATGCCTACATCAGGGTCCCAGGGGAGGGTGTTGGATCTGCTAGACTCTGAGTGTATTAGATGCGTAATTAGCTCAGAAGTTGTGGAAAACTAGGATTGAGGCTAAGAACTTTTTTTAAAAAACATAGCATTTTGCCAACTAGCTGGATCAGTGGTTGGGGGTGGCCCTGCTCATTTTGTAATGGGACCAGTGGAAATGTTGATGGGAAGACATCGAATGGCTTTGTGTTTTACTGTGGCCCCTGGGATGGAGTGCCCCTTATTACTTGGATTACTCTGGTTTAGGAAAAGGAATCCTCAAGAGGACTGGAGGAAAGGTCTGATGTGCATATGCTCCAACCAACCACCGGAAGGGGAGGAGCTTTCCCTAGTAAGGCCTCAGAATCCTAAGGAGTGGGCATCGGTAGCTAGTGAACACATTGTGGGGGAGGAGAAAATTTCTAAAGAATATTGGGACCTCAGAGAGGTCTTTAGTGAGAAAGCGTTGGATGCGCTCCCCCTCATTGGCCCTCAGATTGGATGTCCAGTTTGAATTGTTGGAGGTGGGGACTTGGGATAACTTTCTACATGTAATTTCCGTGCTTTTGCCTCACATCTTGTATTTCTTTTGTTGCTACCACTTCATATTTAATAAAAGTACTTTTCTCTATAAAAATGGAGTTTAAGGCTTTCTTTCTTTGATTTGGAATGGAGCCATATCTGACAGCTCCATTGTCCAAAACATTTCACCAAAAGAGCTTGCATAGCTATTTACATGCAGTGCGATATATAATTTTTAAAATATATCTCTATTAAATTAAATATGAATTTTTGTATTCATACAATACTATTAAGAATGCGAGGAAATATAAAAATATATAGAAAAGTGTGTATGGAAATTTAACAATTATAAAACAACAAATTTGGAAAAATTGTGACCAAGTTGCTTCTTTTCTTACTCTTTATTGGGAAAAAAGAATAAATTATTTGTTTCCATTTGTTTTCATGATGCATTGCAGATTTATTATTCTATTGAGTGATATTCATTCTTATGAGCATCTCCAGTTTCTTAAATCTTGGTTAATTCCAAAGAGACATATGCTGTTTTGACTAACAATCATCATCCTCAACATATATTAACAATCATTTGACTTTTAGCACCGAATATAGTTATAGAATGATATATATGGAAGGATATAAATTTTTTTTGTATGGATAATTCATTTCTTAGAGCAAGAAATTGCAACTAATTATTATTCAACATTCTTTTCAATGAAAAAATAAATATTATATATTTTTTGTTGAATTGATATAAATGAACTGAGTCAGTTTGATCTAGTGGTTAAGACACCAGGCTAGAAAGCAGGACACCATGAGTTCAAATCTCAGTTTAGCACTGAAAGACTGTTTGGTGACTTTAGGTCACCCTCTCTTGGTCCAACTTACCTCATAGGGCTATTGTAAGAGGTGGAAGGTTTGTTGGATATATTTGTCCCCTTGAAGATTTGGCTTTTCTAACAGTTACTGAAGTGGACCAAGGCTACAGCAACTTTGCAACTGATGTATGAAAAAGTGTTGCTCTAGGCACCAATAATTTTATTATGGTTGTTTAGCAATAATTTAGTTTAGTTTATTGTCATTGCACCTCGTATAATGAAATTAAATGCCATCTTCAGTGTACGACATACATAAGAAAACTATAAAAATAAAACAAAAACGCATAACCTTCACATTCTATACAATTGAGTTGAAAACCCCTGATACTGCATTAGTATTAGACTTGTATATTGTTTGTGCTTTAAAGCCCCCTCTAAGCTGTTTACAGAGTCAGCATATTTTCCCCAACAATCTGGGTCCTCATTTTACACACCTCAGAAGAATAGAAGGCTGAGTCTATCTTGAGCTGGTGAGAATAGAACTGCTGAACTGCAGCCAGCAGCAGGGATGAGCTTCCAAAAAATTAGCAACTGATTCTCTATCAGTTACTGGGTGGGTGTGGCCATGATGGGTGAGGCTATTGCATTCTAAGACTGTGCTGAAGTTCTCACTCGGGTCTGCATTTCCTGTGGGAATGTGGACCGCTCCTATTGGCTGATGCCATTTGACAGCTGACTATAAAAGGAAGCTGTCAAACGGCATCAGCTGTTGCCTGTCAGCCGGCCTCGCTCTTAGCTCGTGGCAGCCACAGCAACCCTTTATTTTTAAATAAAGTTACTTGCTGAATGTTGCTCTGCGTTGCCTCCATTCTTCCCACTGCCTACTTATCGCTGGCGACAAGGATGGGATTCAGATAAAGAGACAACCAAGCATGATCACTGAGCTGAAAGTCACTATCTGAGCTGAAAGTCACTATCTGAGCTGATTGTCACTATTCACGAGCACGAATAAAATTCCTCTCAGCAACACTGGCTGACCAGAAGACAAGATTACTTCAACCCCTATGTTCCCACATTTCAGACTGACATCGGAGACATGGGAATCCTATATAAATCATTTTGACTGTTTCTAGATGCCACTGACCTCACCAGAATTTCCACCCACAGAAAAAAAGGCTTACTTTTTAAGTTTTTGCAGAGCCACGGTGTTTGACACTGCTACTGCATTTCTGGCACCGCAATCAGTAAAGAAAGAAGAATGGGAAGAATTGCAGGAAATCCTCTGTAACCACTATTCCCTTAAACCCTCTTGAATTGCCAGGCATCACACTTTTAGAAGACAGACCCAGGCTAAAGGAAAGACTATTAGCATGTATATGGCAGCCTTACAGAATGCCATTGCTTAAAATGCCAAAAGAAAGGTCACTTGGCCAGAATTTGTCAGGCTGGGAAGTCTTTCAAACAGCCTCAACAGCCATTTCCTCAGCCAACACAACATTTCCAGAAACAAGTAGAAGACTGCTTCACGGGCTACCAAGCTAAGTCACTTAACAAAAATTCTAACAAAATAAATGTCATTATGTCCTTAGAAGGTAAACCTTGCGAGATGGAGGTAGACACCGGCTCAGAACTCTCCATCATCTCATGGAGCACCTTGAAGCGAATCCTCCCTCACATGGCAAAGAAGAGGCTCCAAGACTGCCATCTAATTCTGCCTGATTCCCAGGGCAGACCCATTCCAGTCAATGGAAAAAGCAAGTTTTCCATTCATTTTCAAAATTTTAAGGGTTGCTTGCCTTTAGTTGTAGTGGATGGGGCCCTCCCAAGTCTGCTGGGGATGGAGTGGTTCCCTGCCCTTGGCCTTCATATAGGAGGTATTCACTCTATTAACAACTAAGAGGTGGATGCCTTATTTAATGACTATGCTGATATATTCAGTGAGGGCCTTGGGTGTTATGTGGGAATCCCAATCTCATTCAATTTAGAACCCCTAGCAGTCCCAATCCACATGAAGCTTCGCAGAGTGCCTTTTGTCACCCCCCCAAAGCTGGACAGGGAACTGGATAAGCTAATTACCCAGGGAATTTTAGAACTTGTGGACTGTTCAAAATGGGAAACACCTCTCAAGAAAGATGGCAGCTTAAGAATTTGTGTGGATTATAAGTGCTCAATTAATAAATATTTGCATATCAGTCCCAGTGATCCAGCATCTTCCGCATTCATTCAAACCAGGGACCATTTTTGCAAAATTAGATATGTCCCAAGCATACCAGCAGCTCCCTGTTGACAACACAACTACTGAATTACAGACTATCATAACTTACAGGGGCGCCTTCAGATGCAAGCATCTCCAATTTGGGGTCAATGTGGCCCCAGGAATTTTTCAGTCATTAATGGAGAGGTTATTTCAAGGGTTACCTGGAGTAATACCTTATTTTGATGACATATTAATTTCTGCCTCTGACAAACCTCAACTAATGCAAAGAGTTCAAAGGGTTCTCAATTGTTTCAGAAAAGCAGGCCTCAAATTGAAGAAGGAGAAGTGCACTATTGCCACACCACAAGTAGAATTTCTGGGCTACAAAATTGACTCCTCTGGCATCCACCCAATAGAATCCGAGGTACGTGCAATCCACAATGGCCCCACCCCATCAAACAAGACTGAACTTGTCTTTCTGGGACTGCTTAATTTTTACACTTCCTTTTTGCCCCATAAGGCTTCTGTAACAGAGCCACTTCATAGATTCTTAGACAAACATGCCACTTGGCATTGGGGCCCTAAAGAAGCCTTCGCTTTCAAGGCTGTCAAATCATTACTAACTTCAGATTCTGTCTTGGTCCAGTTTAACAAGGACCTCTCTCTAGTCCTGGTGTCAGATGCTTCACCTTTTGGCATTGGCGTTGTATTAAGACACAGGCTGTCCAATGGCTATGAGGCACCAATTGCCTTTTTCTCAAGGACATTTTCTCAAGCCGAAAGTAATATAGCCAAATTGACCAGGAGGCTTTAGCCGCAGTTGCTTCAGTGGAGAAGTTTCATGAGTTTCTCTATGGTCACCATTTTGAACTTATCACTGACCATAAGCCCCTGTTGGGACTTCTATCAGGCAACAGGCAAACACCTCATATTGTGTCCTCAAGGATGACCAGGTGGACTTTGTTTCTAGCAGCATATTCCTACATTGAGCAGGCAAGCACCTCAGCCACGCTGATGCTCTCAGCCATTGCCCCCTGCCTACGCCAGTGGAACCAACCAATGCTGTGTTCCTAATCGAAGACCTTAACCTACCCATCACATCCTTTGGCATCACTGCCCACTCTGCCAAGGACAAGGTAATATCCCAAGTCCTTGACTGGGTGGGAAGGGGGTGACCTAAAGACCCTTTTTCACCTGAATTCTTGCCTTTGAAAATCTATCAGCAAGAATTGTCATCCCTACAAGGCTGCCTGCTATGGGGAGCCAGAGTGGTCATTCCTTCTCAGCTGCAGACCCCCGTTTTAAAAGTGCTTCATGAGGGACATCCTGGGATTGTCAGGATGGAAGCATTAGCATGCAGTTATGTGTGGTGGCCTAGCATGGATGCCCAGATCACTAGCTGGTTGAACATTTGCCAACCATGCCAGGTCACCAGACCAGTCCCTCCTACAGTCACCCCAGGAAAATGGGAAAGATCAGAGTCACCTTGGTCCAGACTCCATATTGATTTGACTGGCGCCTTTCAGGTGTGAACATTTTTGGTAGTAGTGGATTTCTTTTCAAAGTGGGTGGAACTAGCCTTAATGCCAACCACTACTTCTGAAGCAGTAGTAAAGGCCCTGTTGTGAATCTTTGCCACACACAGCTTACCTGACAGCTTAGTGTCAGACAATGGCTCCCAATTCACATCCAATGAATTTGAGGTATTCCTTGCTAACCAAGGAATAAGGCATCCTCTGACAGCTCCTTTTCACCCAGCCAGTAATGGTCAAGCTGGGAGAACTGTCAGATCTACAAAAGGGGCCCTGGAAAGGCTTGGCCCTGCTGATTGGCACTCTAGACTGGCAAAATACCTTTTAATTCAGCATACTACTCCCAGTGCTACTACCAATTGCTCCCCAGAGAACTTCTGATGGGCCACCGTTTGAGGACAACCCTGGACAGACTGCACCCAAATTATGCCCCTGCCATGCCCTTGGGCTCCAATAGTCAGGCCAGAAGTTTTGTAGAACATGACCTGGTTTTAGCAAGGAACTATGCAGATCATCCCCTATGGCTACCCAGTCACATCATTGCAGTAACTGGCCCTAAATCATATAGGATCCAGTTATGGGATGGCTGCATTTGGCGCCGCCATATTGATCAGCTAAGGGGGTGTTGGAGTACTCCTGCAGGTGGCCCTCTGGATGGTTATGATGCCTCGAGCCCATCATCGCCTGAAGCAAGTCGCCACGGACCCAATGATAATGCCCAGGCAGTCAACCACACCACCGGAGGTCGAGGTTCCCATGCCACCCGCACCAGAGACTCCACACCCAGCAGAAGATCCTCACACTTTGGCAGCCCAAGCAGAACTGAGAAGATCTGGCCATCTGTGCAGGCACCCAGCATACCTAAAGAACTACACATGTTCCGTTCTGGGAGAAAGGAGTATTGCGTTCTAAGACTGTGCTGATGTTTTCACTTAGGTCTGTGTCTCCTATTGGCTGATGCCATTTGACAGCTGACCATAAAAGGGAGCTGTCAAATGGCATCAGCTGTTGCCTGTCAGCTGGCTGCACTGTTAGCTTGCGGCAGCCACGGCAACCCTTTTTTTAAAAATTAGGTTACTTGCTGAATGTTACTCTGCGTTGCCTCCGTTCTTCCCACCACCTACTTATCAGTGGCCTAGTCGGCCTTCTGCACCATCCTGTCCTGGGAGCCTCTGCAAGGGTGAAAATGGCCTCCCAGGCTCCAGAAACTCTTTGGAGGCTGGAAATAGGCCCATTTTTGGCCTTCCAGAGCCTCCAGAAAGCCCATTTTGGCCCTCCCTGAGCCTTCATGTAGGCTATGCACTTACCTGGGATCCAAAACAGGCTATGTGGGGACTCCTGGAGGGGAGGTGGAGGTGGGCAGGACCAGCCAGGGGTGGGATTTGATGGTTTGCCAAACTGGCCATAAAATTAACAACCAGTTTGCCCGAATCTGGGCAAACCAATAGCAGCCCATCTTTGGCCAGCAGTCAGCAGAAGTAGCTTGCAGTAGTGCATTCTAATCACTGCTACACCTAAAATGTTCCTTTCTAGCTTCTAGGGCTCATTTGCTGGTTGCATTTCCCACCCAAATGTCATGTCATTCTACTGATGTCCAATGTGAACAACAGGAATCATCTAATGAAGAGAAGGAAATTATGATGTTAAAAAATGATTTTCTTGTATTTTGGGATAAAGCAGTTGTTGAACGGCTATTAAGGGAACCTTCAGAAGGGTTATTTCAACACTTAGCAGTACATATGTTAGCCAACTCTTCTCTCATTAGGGTCGCATAGTTGCTTTGGAAAATATGCACGTTACTTTTTGACTGTTTGTGCATGATCAGGACCATTATATTGCTTTGCAAATGAAGCGTAAAGTGAGTGTTCCTGGACAAACATATTGTGAAGATTTTCAGAAGTTTGGGAAATCTCAGTAATTTATGAATCTACTTATATACTAAAAATGATTTTAAAAGCTTTGTCATAACTAAGTTGATGGGAATAATAATATTCTATAAGAAACCTACTCCCCCACCCAGATTTGTCTGCAATGTTTAATTTGATGTTATCTGTTGATATCATATTTTTATGGCTGAGATGGTTACATATATATCCATAAAATATCTATCATATTCACTTTGCAGTATTAAAGAAATGATCCTAAAAACCAAAATTCCAAAACTTGCCAGAAATTAGTGGTCAATATATTTTAATCTGACGAGGTGAGCAATGGCAGATGATTAAAGTAAATGTTGAAGTTGAGATATATTAATCTATTTGAAATAATTTAAGAAAATACTTTTGATCTGAGCTGTGCTTTTGTGTTTAATTTGTTCTATCTCCATTATATGTGTATATGAAACTATATTTCTCACCTCACAGAAAACCAGTCTTATTGGCCTCTTCCTGTCTTCTAATTAGCTAAATTAAAAGAAAAGAAGCCTTGGTGGTACAGTGGTTAGAGTGCAGAAGTACAGGCTAGTTCTGCTGACTGCCGGTTGATTGCAATTTGGCAATTTAAATCCCACCAAGCTCAAGGTTGACTCAGCCTTTCATCCTTCCGGGGTGAGTAAAATGAGGACCCAGATTGTTGGGGGGCAATAAAACTGCTTAGAGAGGGCTGTAAAGCACTGTGAAGCAGTATATTAGTCTAAGTGATATTGTTACTGGTAATTGTAAATAATTTACATGAAATTGCCAGCAATAATTTACATGGAGGTGCCAGCCATCTACAATACTGAAACAACCAGCTCATGTGAGGGATTAAGAGTTATTGAAACTAGAGCCTGATTTTATCGACAAGATTTTAATTCACCTCACAAAATCCAATGATTCAAGCCATAAAACACACATCATCCCTTAAAAATATGTTGGCCTGTTTTTCTCTTCTAATTAGCTAATTGTAAATAATTTACATGGGTATTGCCAGAAATCTACAATCCTAAAACCATCAGCACATGTGAGATGAAGAGTAGCTGAAAGTAGAGCCTGATCTTGTCAACAAGATCCTCTTTCATCTCACAAAACCCAATAATCCACATCAAAAAATTAACATCATCCCTGAAAAACAGATTGATGCCCATTCCAAGCCTGACATGATGGTTTCTCAAAATCTTAAAAAGCTCTTCTGAGGGGATTAGGTCCATTTCCTCACTGACAATTATCCAGAGGTTGCTGATATTCCTTGCTTACATATTTCAGATGCTGTGGTTTCAATATTAAATAGTCCTACATTTTACCAATAATTTGAATAAAAAAGTCTCTGTGCTTTATTGATATTACAGTATGTCCAGAAATCTAAGAGTACATGATAGAAAGAAAACGTTCAGTTTAATAAACAATGCTTCATGCAATTAAAAAGTTGTCCAGTATTAAAAGCAGCACAACACTCCATTCAAAGAGGACTAGAGTATTTGCATGAATTTTGGGGAGTAAGGATTTAAAGATCTGTCTGAAATCAACAGAACATAGGACCTATGGAAGATGGAAGTGAGCTATGCTTAGGACTATCACAGCGGTGGGATTCAATTGTTTTTACTACCGATTCTGTGAGAGTGGCTTGGTGGGCATGGCAGGGGAAGGATACTGTAAAATCTCCAGTCAGAGATGGTATTTGCGGGTTCTCTGAACTACTCAAAATTTCTGCTACCGGTTCTCCAGAACTGGTCAGAACCTGCTGAATACTACCTTTGGACTGTCAGATTATGACTATCCATAGTTCATTCATATGGTCTATCTGCTATGCTACTATCCAAATTTTAGTGTTACATTCATGATGACACAAATAGCAGCATTACAGCAACATTATCCTAATACAACATGATCAACAGAACAGCCAAAAGCTGCATCAGACCTCTCTGGAGATCACAAACCTGAGGGACAATTGTCTTGAGTCTGTTTTTTTAAAAAAAATCTTGTTCATTTTAAGTGTTTTCCTTTCAATGAGATAGAAATATTTTTTGTATCAGTAAAAACATGTTTCCTTCAATTCTCATGGGATCCATAAGGTAATTGCCTACCTATTTAATTTTGAAAGGATGATATTTAATTTGTTTATGTTCAACTACATACAAAATTTCAGTGTCCAACAAAAAACATGAAGAGTATTATAAATGTCTCAAATTTTTTTCATGTTAGGTAGACTTCAATTATACAGCACAGTTTGTGGAAGCATCTTACTCTTTTTTAAGGAGCATTACGACCACCTTCTGTTACTAGTAATATCACTGTCATCAAAGAAGCAAAAAGAATTTAGATGTCAAGGAAAGACATGGCTTTTTTCCAACAATGTTAGCCTTAATAATATTCTCACTAGCATTTCTTTATCCCCCACTCTCTAAGTCACATAATATCCAATGTAGAGTTCAAAGTCCTCATGATCCCTATCATATATACTATCAGCCAGGTGATGTCATCATGGGTGGCATTGTCACTCTAGCTGCTTTCCTGCGTGCTACCCTAAAGTTCAGAGAAGTACCACCACCACCATTGCCTGAAGAGCTTTTGTAAGGATTTTAAGCTTAGTTCTGTGTATTCTGACTGCTATTAGATCATAATTCAATTAGTCTATTCTATTTAATGTGGTATCAAGGCATTGGATATTTGTAAATGTTGACTATTTTACCCAGCCAGTTAACCAAAGTTTAATGATAAGTCTGGGCCAGAATATTAAGGAAAAAACTTCATTAAAATCTTTATTGTTCTATATAGATATGCCTGGAAAATTTTAATAGTCTGCATCTACTCTGATAATTTTACACATTCTTCCTTATCATTTTCTTAATTTTGATTTATATACCATTGAGATAATTGTTATAAAATGTGGCATTTTTTCATACTTTTAATGATGTGTATAACTGTTATTTATACATTATGAAATTATTATTCCATATCTAAGAACCACAGAGTTATTTCCAAAAATAAAGGAAGAATACAAATGTATGGATGTCATAGATATTTTAAAAGTTGTAAATTTGTTGTTTTGCACAAATAAGTAGACATGTACAAAATACTATTTTTAAGTTTCCATATATATGAAATAATTAGTTTATGAGACCATCATTGCTTTCATTTCACATACTTACTAATAACAATATTCTAAGATTATAACATGAATTGCAAAATTAGTACTTTTTCTTTTTAAAAAATATTTTAAATATTTATTGATGATTTAACTTTTCTTCTATTTCAGATTAGTACCTAAATACTACCAAAATATTGTGGCCCTGGTATTTGCAGTCAAGAAGATCAATAAAAACCCAGAGATCTTACCCAATATCACTCTTGGTTTCAACATCTATGACAGTCATTTCAGTGCACAGAAAACATACCATGCCACAATGTTACTGATTTACAGCATGAAAAACTTTTTTCCTAATTATATCTGTGGTATCCAGAATCATCTGACTTCAGTGATTGGGGGACTAGACACCAAAACTTCCATTGATATTGCTAATCTCTTGGATATCTATAAGACCCCACAGGTAAAATTCAGAGGATACCTATCTTTTTAGAACTTCTAGGTTTCATTTGGTAGATTAGAGGCAGAAATTGGGATTATTCTAAATAACATCATACCTGGTGTGCTTCTTCTCTGTTAAAGTCTTTTTACACCACTTTTTTTTAAAAAGGACAATGACAAGCTAGAGAATCTTAACCTAAGAAACTTCTATAGTATGAATGGAAAATATGGAATCTGATTAAATGACCTAGAAGTATTTCCACAGTCATGTTAGAAATCTATATCTTAAATACCAAAAAGTCTTCTAAGATAGTTTAGTCTCTCAAAATATTGTCACATTAAATTTGGTTAAGTACATTAGATAATTTTAGACATGAGTAAACAAATTAGATACAAAAGAGGTTACAGAAAAGGTGAATGGGGGAAAAAGTCCAGTATACATCAACTATTGTTCCTGCAGTACATAAATATTTTATTGATTAAATGTATTTTAAGCAACCACAATCAAAACTACTCTTGGAGACATATGTAGAAAATGTTTAGTACAAACCATGCATTGTTTAAGTAGTAAAAATGCAAGTAATACACCAATGGAACGAAGAAATGATAAAGGAAAATGGAAATATGAAATCAAGCATGGGAAAGGCTCCAATAAAGGACAATATTTGTAGCTCATGGTTGAAATGATGGGTCTTTGGTGCTCTCTGAGTTTGCTTCTTTTCTTGCAGACATTTCATTACCCTAATTTGGTAACATTATCAGTTCTAGTAAGGAATGCTGTTTGCTATCTGTTTATATTCTGGTGTCCTGCCCGCCTGTATCGGTGGGTTGTTTTAGAGATGCTTTGGTTGGGCTGTTTACAGATAGCTTTTGACTGGGATATTGCTTACTTCATTATGGTCTGAAATTAACCCTGGAGTTAGAAGATTAACTCCTTACTAGCAGTGCTGATGTTAGCTGTCCAAAACAATTTAAAGTCCAAGACCTTTTGAAAGACCTGCAAAGATTTTTGCAGGAACAAGGGCCACTTTAAGATTCAATTCATCTCAGGATTCTCCCTATTTAAAGTCCTTCATGGACGTGAATGTGCAAACCAGATTCACAATAACAAAAAGGGAAGGGATCTGTTCTGCACAACAATAATTCTTTCAACTACCCTTAGTTGCACACAAAACTCTCTCACATATTTCTGGCATACGAACAATACAACAGGCAGAATATAATCATATCACATTTCCTGAAGTACTTCTCTTAAGGCCTAAATCTAATAGACATAGATACCTATTATAAAATATAATTCATTCATTAATTCATTCAATTCATAGCACTTCACTGCATTTAAAATTGCTCAGAATATGCTTATATGTGAAAGAAGATATTAGTTTGGGTGTTGGATATTAGTTTGGGTCTCCTCAAAGAGGCAATCAGAATTTTCGCTGAATATTTCCTTCATTTTCTCAATTTTTCCTATGAAAAATTGGCCTTCTGTCTCTCTCACAGAGGTCTTTGCTTTATCTCTCTTTTCTATCCTTTCATTCTAACTTCAGCAATGTTAGGTGTTAGATCTGGGAGGATGGTTCAAGAACGGAGGAAAGACTCAGATAGCAACAACAGCTCTTTATTAGTGACTTCAGATCTGAGCAACTAATCCCAGCCGCAGCAGCCCCTTATATAGGGCTGGCTGCGGCTAGGCAGCCAATGAAGGCGATTTGAGTTTGCCGCTCTTGGCAGGGCCAATCGCAGCAGCCCATTTACTGGCCAATCGCATCAGTCTATGGCGATCAAATCACGATCGGCTATCAGCTGGCCAATCAAGTTTGCAGGCTTCAAGCCTGCTAGTCCGGAACACTCCTCCCCTCTCGGTTCCGTTTAAGGGGCGGAGTAATATAGTCTAACAGGTAGACAGGTCTTCGCACCTGTCTACCTGACTTACGCAATTCCAATTGTCCCTGTTCAAATCCGGGTTCAGACGGACTGCTTGCTGGATCAAACAGGAACGGTGAACCGGTGCCATGGTCAGGGATCTCCTCTGGTGCCCCCGGGGTGATAGAGTCCTCAGCTTCGTTGCTACTGCCATGGCTCCCCGGGCTCGCTGAACCTGCCTGGCTGCTGTTTCTTGGCGAAGTGTTCATCTGTCCAGGCTCAGCTGCAGCTGGTGAGTGTTGCAAACTATGGTACGGTGATCTCGGTGTTAGTTCAGAATAAACAGGTGTTGGTTCTAATTCTGAGTGCACGGCTTCCCCTCCCCCTCTCCCCGGTGTCAAAGTTAGGGTCAGGTTTGGAAGATGTGGTTAGTCTGGAGCACAGCTGGTCAATATGGCGTTTCCATGCTCTGCCATCAGTGGTGAGTAGACGGTAGGAGCGGGGACCCGTAACTTGAGTTACTTGGGCAGGAATCCAGAGGGGATCTCCAGAAAAAAATTTTCTGAATACAAGGTCTCCTACCTTGAAGGCACAGTGCTTGCTGCTGGAACCCAGGGGTTTTTCCGGGGTGTAGGCAGGGTGCAAACGGTCTAGAGGCGATCTGAGTTTCCTGGCCATCAGGAGTTCAGCTGGGCTCTTGTTGGTCGTGCTGTTTGGTGTGATGTGTTGCAGGAGCAGCATTCTAGTGACTTTGTCGTGGATGTTACCTTGATCCATTTTCTGCAGGGTTTTCTTTGTAAACTGAACCATTCATTCAGCCCTACCATTCGCCGCAGAATGAGCCGGCGATGTGAGTGCGTGTCGGATGCCCTGTTCCGTTAAATACTGTTCAAAGGCTAAGGCAGTAAATTGGGGACCATTGTCAGAGACCAGGACATCTGGTAACCCGTGTGTGATGAAGAGTCTGTTCAGTTTTTTGATGACTGCCTCAGTAGTGGTTGCTTTCATTTTATTGACCTCAAGCCAGTTAGAATACGCATCTACGGTTATTAAGAAAGTGTGGCCTCTCGTACGTCCCACAAAGTCAATATGAATGCGAGACCAGGGACTCCTGGGTGTTTCCCATTCTTTTGGTGGAGCTTTTGGTGGGGCTGAGTGGTTTTCCTGGCATCTGTTACAAGAGGCGACCCAGGTTTCAATTTGTTTGTCCATACCTGGCCACCAGGCGTAACTTCTTGCCAGCGCTTTCATACGCATGATGCCCGGGTGTCCATTGTGTAGCATTTGCAAGTCCCTTTTTTGTAACTTAGTTGGTACAACAACTCAGTCTCCCCACAAGATGCACCCTCTTTGTAAAAAAAGTTCTGTTTGTCTGTTTTTAATTGGCTTAAATATTTCCTTAGGGTCGTAATCTGGCCATCCCCTCTCCACCCAGCCAAGAACTCATGCCAAACAAGAGTCTCTTTTGGTTTCAAAGGCAATGTCTTGGGCCGTTAGTGGAAGTGAGGGCATTGTCTCTATTTGCAGTACCGGGAGTGTGGGAGCTGGGTCTTCCTGTGGCTCGGGTAGTGGCGAGCGGCTCAAGGCATCTGCGTGAGGAATAGATTTCCCCGGGCGATACTTTAATTGATAGTCGTAGGCAGCGAGAAATTCCGACCATCGCGTCATTCTGGGGGAGAGAATGTGTGGGGTAGATTTGTTGCCCACCAGAATCCCAAGTAGTGGCTTATGATCCGTTATAATAGAAAATGGTCTCCCATAAACATATTCATGAAATCTTTTAATTGCAGAGACAATAGCAAGGGCTTCCTTATCTAAATGGCTATAGTTTCTTTCTGTTTTTGATAGAGTTCTTGAAAAAAATGCAATTGGTGCTTCTGAGCCGTTTGGTAGGACGTGGCTCAGGATGGCCCCCACCCCAAATGGTGAGGCATCACAAGTGACAGTCAAAGGTAGTGTCTCGTTATACTGAATTAGTACTGCCTTTGAGGTAAGGAGGTCTTTTACTTGCTGGAAGGCATGTTCCTCCCGACGTCCCCAAGTCCAGGATGCCCTTTTATCGAGTAGTCTATGAAGGGACTCAGCAACAGTCGCAAGTGATGAAGCGTGGCCGATGGTGATGGTTTGATGAGCCTCCTCTCATCTGGGTGTGTCGTTAAACCTTCGGGGTGTGCTGTACTGGTTCCACTGGTTGCTAGGGTGGTCCCTCTGTGTGGTGGAGTTGCCATCATACCTCTTTGGGCTGCTCCCTCTCCGTCTGGGGCTGGAATTTCTCTTGTTTCTGCATACCTTCACGATGTGCCCTCATTTCTCGCAAAAATGACACATGGCATCTAAGAATCTGCATTCGGATCGGGGATGGTTTCCCCCGCATCCGGTGCATTGGTAGTTGGGTTTATGACCCCGCTGGTCCCGTTGCTCACATTTCGATCGGAGCCTGTGGACTTCTTCTTCTCACTGTCTGAGGATGACTCGACATCTTCATGATGGGTGGTCGATGTGTACTTGTCTGAAGGTTTCCCAGCATCATTGGTGGGTTGGTGGTTGGTTCCGCTGGTTCGACGCATTCGTGCTGCTGATTTATGAGTGGCTTCAGCTGCAGTGGTGTCTGCTATGGCATCTGCAAGCGAGATGTCTCCCTTGGCCATGATCTTGCTCTGGACGGTTGGGTCTCTGAGGCCAAGGACAATGCATCTCTCATGGCTTCTTCGAGGTTGGTGAAGCCACATAAACCACCCAGGTTCCTCAGGTCTGCCACAAAGTCCCCAACGCTCTCACCTTCACACTGGTCCCTCTGGTAGAACTCGTGTCTGTGAATGAGAGTTGGCACAGCTGGGGCGTAATGGTTGTGCAGGATGGGAGCAAGGGTCTCCCAATCCATAGTTTTAACCTCAGCTGGCTTCGCTAAGGCTTTAGCCATCTTAAAAATGGCTGGCCCACAATGGGTTAGAAAAACGGCTCATTTCTTGCTAGGTTGGCATCTTTGAGGTTGTTGGACTCCAGGAACATTTGAAATCTGTCCATATATGAGTCCCAGTCTTCACTGGCTGGATTGAATGGTGCGGGTGGTATAGTGCTGCTGGCCATGTCGCCGTCGTTGCGCTCTGTCAGCCACGTGCTCCTTCAGCTAGTTCAAATCAATAGACTTCATTGCCTCCGCATCCCACCCTCGTCGCCAGAGTTAGATCTGGGAGGATGGTTCAAGATCGGAGGCATGACTCAGATAGCAACAACAGCTCTTTATTAGTGACTTCAGATCTGAGCAACTAATCCCAGCCGCAGCAGCCCCTTATATAGGGCTGGCTGCGGCTAGGCAGCCAATGAAGGCGATTTGAGTTTGCCGCTCTTGGCAGGGCCAATCGCAGCAGCCCGTTTACTGGCCAATCGCATCAGTCTATGGCGACCAATCATGATTGGCTATCAGCGGGCCAATCAGGTTTGCAGGCTTCGAGCCTGCTAGTCCGGAACATTAGGTTTTACTCATTTACATAAGCTATTCTTATATTGCTATATAAATATATGACATGTTTTATTAAAAAAAACTTCACAACGACAATTAAATGTGACTCTCTCTCCATCTCTTTCCTTTGCACTCAATCCTATGCAGCTCGTCTATGGCTCTAAACCCATCATGAATTATAAAATACCAGGTCTTCTTTTCTTCCAGATGAGCCCACTGGAAAGACTTCAATATGAAGGGATTCTGTCTCTGCTTCTCCATTTCAGATGGTCATGGGTTGGGATAGTTGTGATGGCCAATGATAATGGAGAAAGGATTATAGAAAAGATTGTTCCATTATTGTCCCAACACAACATCTGCTTTTCATATATAGGGAGACTCAGTGAATTAACAACTCCTAATGAAATATATGACTTGTTCAATGAAGGTGCAGAAATACATGATAAAATTATGGATAGCAATGCTAATGTTCTGATATTTTATGGAGAGTCTGATATTATGGTAAGAGTGAGATGGCTAGCATATTTATCAAGAAAAAGCACAGCAGATATTGTCAAAGGTAAAGTGTGGATATTAACAGCACAAATGGACCTCAATTCACATGTATATCAAAAAAATTGGGATACTGACACGATGAATGGTGCTCTATCCTTCACTATTCATGCCAATGACCCACCAGGATTCCAGACATTTTCTGAAAGTAGACATCCTTCCATGACAGAAGATGGATTTATCAAGGATTTTTGGCAGCAATCCTTTATTTGTGCATTCAAAACTTCAAATATAGGTGAAGTAGTTGGTGATATTTGCACAGGAGAAGAGAAATTGGAAGATCTTCCTGTAACTTTTTTTGAAAAGAGTATGACTGGACTTAGCTACAGTATTTATAATTCTGTCTATGCAGTTGCCCATGCCTTGCATGCCCTGATTTCATCCAGATTTGCCCGGCGGCCAGGGGCAAATAATGTGAAGTTGGTGATTCAGAATCAGGATTCATGGCAGGTAATGGATTAAGCATCATCTTTATTTGTGTAAAGGAAAATGAGCTCCATAACATCAATTATAGGAATAAATTTTGATTTCTTTTCCCATCACTGGAAAGGAACATAAGAGTCTCTGGTTTGATTAGTCACATCCCATCCTGATTAATTAACCCCTCACATCCTGATTATTAACCCCTCACATCCTAAACATAAACTGTTTCAACTCCTGTCCTCAGGATGCTTCAGTTCAAAACAACTAGATACAGAGACATTTTTCCCTCGCTCAGCCATCACTCTGCTGAACACCTAATTCACACAGTACTGTCTATATATATTTATCTATGTGGTATGACAGCATTGTTGTTATCCTTCTCATCTTTCCTACTACTGTCTCTTATTAGTATTATTATGATGATTATTGTTGCTCTGTATACTAAGAGCTTCTGCAACAAAGACAATTTCCTTGTGTGTCTAATTATATTTGACAAAATAAAGTATTCCATTCTATTCTATTCTGTGACTTTCACTGCACCAAATTTTTCTTAGGTTCCCTCCCCCCCCCCAAAAAAATTAAACCCCACTTTCTAATTTTTATCTTTTCTTTTTCATCTAGTTGCACACCTTTTTAAAAGGCCTCTCATTTAATAATTGTGCTGGGAATCTGATTTCTATTGACTACAATGGAGAGTTAATAGCTGGATACGATATACTGAACTGGATTGTTTCTTCTAATGAAACTTTCATTAGCGTTAAAGTTGGGAGGGTAAACCCTGAAGCTTCAGACCAAATATTCACCATAAATGAAGATGTAATAACCTGGCACCATTGGTTTAACCAGGTGGGATCCTGGGAATTTATACCAAATCTATTTTGTAGCTAGATGCATAAAATGAATAATTCAGACCTGATCAAATAAGAACTTGTACTATAATGCAACTATGTTGCTGCTTCAGTTGGGCTTTTTATGAATTCTTTAGTTAGAATGATGAAAAAAAATATCTGATATGATATATGTGGAATTGCCTTCCCCTAATTGGATTGGCCTACCTCATTTCAGCTGGTGGGACTCATCAGAAGAGCCTTTTCTGCCCTTTAGAACATTTTGCCAAAGGAGATAAGATCTGCCCTCTCTCATTTAGCCTTTAGGAAAAGCTTTAAAATCTGATTGTACTGGCTAGCATGGGCTCCTGAAGTAGAAGCTGTTAGCCGGAGGTGGCTGATCCACTAACAGAGAAGGTACCCCTACCTTCACCCTCCAATCCCTTGTTGTTTTTAATTTGATTTCTGTAATTTTAATCTGATTTTATATTTATAATTGTAACTTGTTTGTGATTTTGTGGTTGTTGTTATAAGCCACTCAAGGTCTAGTGGATAGACAAACAAATTGATATTTCATATTCTTTAAAAAAACCTAGAACTCAATTTTCTAGAGATATAAATTTCTATTGCATAGTTCATGCTTATTTACAACAATTCATCATTATTATGACAGTTCATTCAAAAGGAAAACCAGATCAGGGGTGGGATTCTACCAGTTTGGACCAGTTCTATGGAACTGGTTGTTATTATTCTGCACAGTTCAGAGAACCTGGCTGGCTCCTCCCCTCTCCACCTGCCCCTCCCCTCCCTGCCCAGTTAGTCCTTGTTGTGCATGCACTACTTCGCATGCATGCCCAACATCACTGACTGCATTCTCCCTTGCCCAGTCACTCCTTAAGGGATTTCTTTCCCCAATGATCAGCTGTGCCGGGATCCCCCTGCTGCCTTACTGCTTTGCCCTGAGGCCCAGGAAGCAAAAAGGGACGCAAGGGGAGCTGCGCCCCCGCTCAATTTTTTGCCTTCCTGGATCCCAGGGAAGCTTCCTGGGAGCAAAAACACACACCCCCAGGAGGCTTCCCTAAGGCTAAGGAGGCCCAAAAATGGAGTGTGAGGGATGCTGCATGCCCCCTTGACTCCATTTTTTGGCTTCCTGAGCTCCAGGGAAGGCTTCTGGGAGGAAAAATGCCCCCCATGAGGTTCCCCTGAGGCACAGGTGGCCCAAAAACTAGGATGGTGGTGCAAAAAACAGAGGCCCCACCCACCCAGTCACATGGCTTTGCCCACCTGGCCATGCCCACACATAAGTAGAACACAGCATTTAAACAACTTTATAGAAAGCAATTATGCTTGGAAGAATTAGCAGTAAAAGGAAACCAAGCCGCCAAACAACATGGTGACTAGACACCATCATAACTGACACCTGCTGGAGCATAAAACAATTCAAAGAAGTAGTGCAAGATCAGAAGATGTGGAAAGATCTGGCCAAAAGAATCAATCAGATTTGGACATAATTATGCTGTTTTGCTCTCTCACGTAATTGTAGCTTAGTGAGTTTATTAATATTCCATAGCAATTCTCTTCATCAAAACCCAACAACTGCCCCATTAAGTCCAAACACAAGCAGTTAGTCCACAGAGCAATGGCCCAATAGTCCACAAAGCACTTGAAATTGCTCAAACAAAATCACTCCACCAGACAAACTTAAATCCACCAGGCAAAACTTAAATCCATGCACAAGAGATCTTACGAGGTAAGAAAAGTCCAGTGTCTCTAAGGCACAAATCAATTCCAGACATGGTGTCAATCCAGAATGAAGCAGGAAACACAATGACCAAAACAAAACAAAACATGTTGTTCTCAGCAATGCTTTCATCTGTCTGCTGTGATTAATAGCCAGCTTCCAGTGCAGACCATCAAGATGGGTGAGGCTTTCTCCCCTTGAGTAGTCTGGCTGACCTCTGCTGCTCCTGTCTTTTCTCTGCTATATATGTTCTCAGATCGGAGCAGAAGTCAGTTCCTCTTCCTCTTCACGGGCTGTCTGCCACTACAAGTTTTCCCCAGTTGAAGCCTCCTCTGAATTGTTTCTGGATGGCCATTCAGAGCTATCAATCAACTCAGTTCCTGACATGCCAGGAATGGGCTCATCCTCCCCTGAGCTGACATCTGAGGAGAATCTGGGAAGTCATCCAAAAGAGACATCAGAAAAACTAAATTAACATGATCTTCTTCATCATTATCATCAAGATAATCATCATCAATATCATCAGCTTTATTGTAATTCATTTGTTTGATTGTTAAGAGCAACTGAATTGGATAGCAAACAAATTTAGTAACTTATTATTAATTATATCTTAACTCAGACTAATATCATCATTGTTCTTGTCTGTCTGTTTGTTTGTTGTTTCTACTTCAGTCCCAGCCTGTTTCATTATGCACTGGGAGTTGCAATCCTGGTTCCAGCAAGAAAATGAAGGAAGGGCAGCCCTTTTGTTGCTATGACTGCATTCCATGCCCACATGGGAAGATTTCAGAAAATGAGGGTAAGAAATGTTATATTGGAATTTATCTCACACAATGGTACCAGTTTACAAATGCAAAGTTGTATAACTGAAGATTCTTTTTTGCCAAGTATTTGTCCAATATTTTGAATTGGCATCTTTAGGGCTTGCTTAAGACAAATTAGGTGACCATTACTATCCTATTTGGTTCAAAAACAAGGATTATATAAAGAATTATATTATTATATAAAGAATTAAAATTCTAAAGATCTCTTATATATCAAAGTTTTGAAATTAAAATACAATATCACCACCGTTAAACAGATTATTTAAAGAGTTGGAGCATTTCTGAAATCTACAATCTATTCAATTGTTTAATGAAGTGGAAATAAAAACATTCTAACTATACTTATAACATGTAAGGGACATTATTAAGATACACTTTATATTCTACAAATGTTCCTCAAATCATTTTATTTTTCAGATACAAACGATTGTTACTTGTGTCCAGAAGGAAGCTATCCAAACAACAATCAGGATTCCTGTATTCCTAAAACTTCAACATTTTTGTCTTATGAGGAACCTTTGGGAATCAGTTTGGTTTTCTTTGTTATTTTGTTTTCTTTGCTCTTGGTGATGGTGCTTGCAATATTTGTAAAGAACCACAATTCTCCTATCATCATTGCCAATAACCGAGATCTCACTTACATTCTCCTCATCTCCCTCCTGCTCTGTTTCCTTTCTGCATTCCTATTCATTGGTCATCCTGAGAAGGTGGTATGTCTCCTGCAACAAGCAACTTTTGGGATTGTCTTTGCAATGGCAGTTTCTTCAGTGTTGGCAAAAACTGTCACGGTGGTTCTAGCTTTCCAGGCCACCAAGCCAGGATCCAAGATGAGAATGCTTGTGGGAAAGAGACTGTCCAACTCCATTGTCATTTCTTGTTCTCTTATTCAAATAGGTATTTGCATGATATGGATAACAACTTCACCCCCTTTCCCAGAAAAAGATATGGATTCAGTAGTTGAAGAAATTATTCTGCAGTGCAATCAAGGCTCTGTGACTATGTTCTACAGTGTCCTAAGCTATTTGGGCTTCTTGGCTGTTATTAGTTTCATAGTTGCCTTCATGGCCAGGAAATTACCTGATACATTCAATGAGGCCAAATTCATCACTTTCAGCATGTTGCTCTTCTGCAGTGTTTGGATATCTTTTGTCCCAACCTATTTGAGCACCAAGGGGAAGTACATGGTGGCAGTGGAGATATTTTCCATCTTAGCATCTAGTGCTGGTTTGCTGGGCTGCATCTTTCTTCCCAAATGTTATATAATTGTTTTAAGGCCTGATTTGAACAACAGGGAAAATTTAATGAAGAGAAAACAATTCTGATTTTGATCTGTAATGTCCTTGTGCAGTTTTTAATTATGAAAACAATGTCATCTTTATCCAGAGTCTGAAGACTGCTTTATTATCAGCTGCACTTCTGGTTTCCATGTGTAGGTATTGCTGCTTCAGTTCACTACGAGAAATATGTAGCAAAATGGCATAAGGGGAGAGCAGCCCATGACAGAGACATGTAAGGTTAAAGACAGGCTAATTGGAAGAAGAAGTTTCTCCCATTTATCCTCCATAGTACAAAACACTTCACGCAAAAGAAATGCACAGATATAGCTATTTGCATGCAGTAAAATATCATTTTTAAAATGTTTTTTTTATTAAATTAAAGAGTTAGAAATTTTTGTATTCATACAATGCTATTAAGAATCTGATATAAGATAAAAATTTTAAGAAAAGTGGGCATGGAAAATCTCATTAATTGTATAAATTATAACAACAAAGTTTTTTTTTAATGACCAAAATGTTGACCAAAAAGTCATTTTTTGCTGGTTCTCTCTTGGGAAAAAAAAGAATAAATAAATAAAAATTAGTAATTCAAGTTGGCAACCCATCTTTTTTCTTTATAAGTGTTGATTTATTATTCCATTTATGTTTGTTCTTTCTTATCAGCATTTCCAAGTTCTTAAGGTCTTTATTAATTCTTATTCCTAGCAATATAGCTGAAGGGACATATGCTGTCTTCACTAACAATGATCATCTTCAACGTATATTACTAGCCACAGGGTGCCGTGGTTAGAATGCTGGACTGCAGGCTACTTCTGCTGACTGCCAGCTGATTGCAATTTGGCAGTTTGAATCTCACCAGCTCAAGGTTAACTCAGCCTTCCATCCTACTGAGGTGAGCAAAAAGGAGGACCCAGGTTGTCGGGGCAATATGCTGATTCAGTAAACCACTTAGAGAGGGCTGTAAAGCACTGTGAAGCAGTATATAATTCTATTAGCAATCATATGGCTTTTAGCCCCATATACCTATAAGATTGTAATTTGATCACATCTATATTTCATTTTTTAGAATAGAATAGAATAGGAATAGGAATAGGAATAGGAATAGGAATAGGAATAGAATAGAATTCTTTATTGGCCAAGTGTGATTGGACACACAAGGAATTTGTCATCAGTAGATAAGCTCTCATTGTACATAAAAGTTATGAAAAATTATAATCATAGTCATAATAAAAATACATTCGTCATAAATCATAAGATACAACACTTAGTGACAGCCACTAAGCAATCAACATAAATTGTACTAAATAAATAAAACTAAATAAAACAATATAAAATATAAAGATACAAGCAACAAAGTTATAGTCATAAATAGAAAAGGAGATAGATAATAGGAAAGATGAAAAAAATGTTAATACAGTCTTACTTCTAAGTAGTACAGTCTATACAGTCTAAATAGTTTGACAGTGTTGTGGAAATTAGTTGTTTAGCAGAGTGATGGCATGTGGGTGGGAACTGTCCTTGTGTCTACTTGTTCTGGTGTGTCGTGCCCTATTGCATCGTTTTGAGGGTAGAAGTTGAAACAATGTCCAGGATGTGAGGGATTTGTACATATTTAACAGCCCTCTTTTTGACTCATACAGTATATAGGTCCTCAATGGAAGGAAGGTTTTACAGCAAGAAATTACAACCGATTCTTATTCCACACTCAAATTGCAACAGCATTTTCACATGATGTGGAAAAGAAAAATTACACAGCTTTTGTTGAATTAATATACTTGATATTTGGTCTAGTGTTTGAGGAACTAGGCAAGAAAGCTGGAGACTCTGAGTTCAAATCCCACCTTAGCCATGACAACCTGTTTGGTGACTTTTGGCCAGTCATTCTTTCTTAGCCCAACCAGTGGAAATATTTTAATATTTTGTCAGCCACCCAGAGCAATAATATGGACAACTATATAAATCTGTTGGGCAACAATATAAGAATATTTAATAAGAATTGATTATCATTTCCTGTTCTTTTATTGGTTAGCCATGTCATTTGAATGAGTTCATGTCCCAACTTAGCCAGGAAATCCAGTTTGGGAATTTGAATTGGTCACTCTTTCTCAGCCAGACCTACCACACAGGATTCTTGTTGTGGTGAAAATAGGAGGAGGAAGGTTTGTTAGATATGTTCGCTGCCTTGAAAATCTGATCCTTTTAACAATTGCCCTAATCACCAAGAATTTTTCTCATGGTTGTTTAATTGTTTGTTTATTTTTTTTCTATTTTTATTGTTTTGTGAACCACTAATGGATATAGTTCATAATATGGGGAACTATATAAATATTTTAAATAGTTGCATACTTAAGATTTTAACCAATAAAACGTCAGCATTATATGCAGCCCAATATTTTCCCTACATGCCATATTCTATTAGGAACAAGGATTAAAACCCATAAAGCTTGTCTGTTGATATCAGAATTTTATGCCTAAAAGGACTACATTTATAGCCCAATATTTATGATATTCATTTGGAAGTATTAAAGAAACTGAATTCTAAAAACCAGGATTCCAAAATTTGCCACAATTTAATGAGCTGATATATATTTTGACAAGGTGAGCAAAAGTGGCTGATGTAATCTGCAATTCCTTTCTTAAAACAATGTGATGGTTAAAGTACATGTGGAAAGATAAGACCAAAATCCTAATTTTGCTAAATATAATTTATGCTGTGAAAGTCTCAGAGCAGGTTTCTGTAAATGAAATTGAGATATATTAATATATTTGAAATAATGTAATGAAATACTGAATAATTTCTTTATTTGATCTGAGATGTGCATTTGTGTCTCTTTTGTATCTAATTTGTTCAATCTCTAGTGTGTATGTGTAAAACTATATTTCTCAGCTCTCAGCAAAGCAATCTTAAAACTATCTTTGTTGATATCTTGGCCTGTTTTTCTCTTTTAATTAACTAATTGTAAATATTTTACATGAATATTACCAGCAATTTACAGTCTTGAAACCACCAGCACATATGAGAGACAGCTAAAGAGTAGCTAAAAATAGACCCTGATCTTATCAACAAGTTCCTCATAAAATCCAATAATCCACATCAAAAAATCTATATCTCCCTTAAAAATAGATTAATGCCCATTCCAAATCTGACATGATGGTTTCTCAAAATCTTAAATAACTCTTCTGAGGGAATCAGTTCTATTTCCTCATTGACAACTACCCAGAAGTTGCTCATATTCCTTGCTTATGCCTTTCAGATGCTATAACTTTAATATTAAATAGTACTAATTTTTATCAATAGTTTTGTCTCCCTTTTTATACAAAAAATCTTTCTGTGTTTTCTAGATATCACAGTACATCCAGATTTCTAAGGTCATGACAGGAACCAAACTTTCAGATTAATAAATAAAAAAACAATGCCCCTTGCAATTAAAAATTTGGGCAGTATTAAAAGCAGCACAGCTCAAGTTCAAGGATAACCAAAGCACTTTCATTAATTTTGAGAAATAAGGATTTTGGGGTCTGTCTGAAATCGGCAGATCATAAGACCTATGTGGGCTATGCTTAGGACTATGATTAGAATTAGAATTACAAAGCTGTAAGGGACCTTGGAGGTCTTCTAGTGCAATCCCCTGCTTAGGCAGGAAATCCTATACCACTTCAGACAAATGGTTATCCAATCTTTTCTTTAGAACTTCCAGTGTTGGAGCATTTACAATTTCTGGAAGCAAATTGGACCACTGATTAATTGTTCTAACTGTCAGGAAATTTCTCCTTAATTCTAAGTGTTGCTTCTCTCCTTGATTAGTGTTCACCTATTGCTTCTTGTCCTGCCTTCAGGAGCTTTGGAGAATAGCTTGACTCCACCTTCTTTGTGGCAATCCCTGCGATATTGGAACACTGCTATCATGTCACCCCTAGTTCTTCTTTTCATAAGACTATACATGCCCACTTCCAGAAACCTTTCTTTATATGTTTTAGCCTCCAGTCCCCTAATCATCTTTGTTGCTCTTCTCTGCACTCTTTCTAGAATCTCAACATCTTTCTTACATCGTGATGATCAAAACTGGATGCAGTATTCCAAGTATGGCCTTATCAAGGCATTATAAAGTGGTATTTGTTAGATATTAGCATACTTACCTGTGATTGGTTGAGCCGTGGAAGGGGGAAAACAAACAGCTGTCACTGGCTGAAACTGCCAACAGCTCTGCTGTAAAAGGGGTTGCCGCAGCTTAGGTTCTTCAGTTCCTGCAGAGACAAAATAAAAGGTTTTGCTGATCTGAGAGTCCTGCGTTTTTACTCACCCCATAATCTAACACTGGTGACAAAGGTGGGATACTGAGACAACAAAGAACCAGATCAACCTGGAACCATATAACATCAGTGGCCAATACTCCAGAACAATGACTGGAATGATGTCAGGATCCAAAGTTCCATCAGCACCCTTCCATCCAGCTATGGAAGACTGGGAATCATACATTGACAGATTCCACATGTCCCTGGAGAGGAATGACCTTCTCAACATGTCGGAACAGAGGAAACAAGCCATCTTCCTCACACACTGTGGGCCTGCAGTATTCAAAATGGCCAAAGCATTGTCCTTATCCAACAAATTGAAGACAATGGCATGGCCAGACTTGAAAAGGATCCTGAGAGCACACTACACGCCCCAGGCATTGAGTTTAGTGAGGCGACCTGAATTCTACTAGTGAGACCAGAAGGAACTTCATAGACCATCAGGGATTTCATAGCAACCCTGTGAGAAATTGCTGCCGCCTGCAAGTTCCTCAATGTGGACAAGACAATGAGGGATCACCTGGTCCTAGGATTCCGAGACCTAAACCTCCAGAGCCACTACTGGCAAAGAGAAATGGCCGCCATACACCACGAGGATGTTCAGTCAGACTCCAACCCATATGAAAAGAAATATATCAACTATGATCAGAACAAACACCAAAAACCCAAGACAGGGGAAGAAAAAAAAGGGGATATGTTGGATGCAAGGGGTCAGAATGCCCTTTTTGCAATGCAATCTGCCAGAGATGTGA